TTTCTACCTCTGCTGACTTCAGTATTGAAAATACTTTAGGAATAGTTTTCACCATCCCCTGCATATTGTAGTTCATCACAAAGCTCTTATAGCTCGGTGGGAGCGACTGAAGGATTCTATCAATGACCGCCTCGTCCGGGAGGTTAATGTCCAGCTGGGAGAGGCGGTTGTGCAACCCAGACATTTTGAGTATGTGCTCACTGACAGAACTATTTTCCTCTATCTTACAACTATAGAACTTGTCGGAGACTTCATATCTCTCGACCCGGGCGTGAGCTTGGAAAACCATTTTCAGCTCCTCGAACATCTCATATGCTCCGTGTTGCTCAAAACGCTTTTGGAGCCCCGGTTCTAAGCTGTAAAGCATGCTGTACTGAATGAGGGAGTAATCATCAGCACGTGACTGCCAAGCGTTCATAACGTCTTGGTTCTCTGGGATGGGTGCTTCACCTAGCGGTCCTTCTAGGACATATGCTTTCTTGGCAGCTATGAGGATGATCCTCATGTTCTGGACCCATTCCGTATAGTTGCTGCCATCATCTTTCAGCTTGGTTTTTTCTAGGAACGCGTTGAAGTTCATGTTGACATGAGCGTTGGCCATATGATCTACAAGACATTTTGCAAAGATTTTAGACTAAGTTCATGATAATTAAGTTCATCTAACCAAATTATTTAATGAACTCCCACTCAGATTAGACATCCCTCTAGTCATCTAAGTGTTACATGATCCGAGTCGACTAGGCCGTGTCTGATCATCACGTGAGACGGACTAGTCATCATCGGTGAACATCTCCATGTTGATCGTATCTTCCACACGACTCATGTTCGACCTTTCGGTCTCTTGTGTTCCGAGGCCATGTCTGTACATGCTAGGCTCGTCAAGTTAACCTAAATGTTTTGCATGTGTAAATATGTCTTACACCCGTTGTATGTGAACATTAGAATCTATCACACCCGGTCATCACGTGGTGCTTCGAAACAACGAACTGTCGCAACGGCGCACAGTTAGGGGGAACACTTTCTTGAAATTATTATGAGGGATCATCTTATTTACTACCGTCGTTCTAAGTAAACAAGATGCAAAAACATGATAAACATCACATGCAATCAAATAGTAGTGACACGATATGGCCAATATCATATAGCTCCTTTGATCTCCATCTTCGGGGCTCCATGATCATCTTCGTCACCGACATGACACCATGATCTCCATCATCATGATCTTCATCATCGTGTCTCCATGAAGTTGCTCGCCAACTATTACTTCTACTACTATAGCTAACGATTTAGCAATAAAGTAAAGTAATTACATGGCGTTAAATCATTGACACGCAGGTCATACAATAATTAAGACAACTCCTATGGCTCCTGCCGGTTTTCATACTCATCGACATGCAACTCGTGATTCCTATTACAAGAACATGATCTCATACATCACAATATGTCATTCATCATTCATCACAACTTTTGGCCATATCACATCACAAAGCAATTGCTGCAAAAACAAGTTAGACGTCCTCTAATTGTTGTTGCATCTTTTACGTGGCTGCAATAGGGTTCTAGCAAGAACGTTTTCTTACCTACGAAAAAGCCACAACGTAATTTGTCAACTTCTATTTACCCTTCATAAGAACCCTTTTCATCGAATCCGCTCCAACTAAAGTGGGAGAGACACACTCGCTAGCCACCTTATGCAACTAGTGCATGTCAGTCGGTGGAACCTGTCTCACGTAAGCGTACGTGTAAGGTCGGTCCGGGCCGCTTCATCCCACAATACAGCTGAAGCAAAATAAGACTAGTAGTGGCAAGAACGTTGACAACATCTACGCCCACAACAGATTTGTGTTCTACTCGTGCAAAGAGAACTACACATAGACCTAGCTCATGATGCCACTGTTGGGGAACGTTGCAGAAAACAAAAAATTTCCTACGGTTTCACCAAGATCAATCTATGAGTTCATCTAGCAACGAGAGAGAGGAGTGCATCTACATACCCTTGTAGATCGAGCGGAAGCGTTCAAGAGAACGGGGTTGAGGGAGTCATACTCGTCGTGATCCAAATCACCGGAGATCCTAGCGCCGAACGGACAGTACCTCCGCATTCAACACACATACGGTCAGCGTGACATCTCCTCCTTCTCGATCCAGCAAGGGGGAAGGAGAGGTTGATGAAGATCCAGCAGCACGACGGCGTGGTGGTGGATGCAGCAGGGATCCCGGCAGGGCTTTGCCAAGCGTCTGCGGGAGGGAGAGGTGTAGCAAGGAGGAAGGGAGGCGCCAAGTGCAAGGGTGCGGCTGCCCTCCCTCCCCCCTCTTTATATAGGGACCCTTGAGGGGGCGGCCCTAGGATATTGAATCTCCAAGGGGGGGCGGCGGCCAAGGGGGTACCTTGCCCCCCAAGGCAAGTGGAGGCGCCCCTCCCCTAGGGTTCCCAACCCTAGGCGCAGGGGGGGCCAGGGGGGCGCACCAGCCCACCAGGGGCTGGTTCCCCTCCCACTTCAGCCCATGGGGCCCTCCGGGATAGGTGGCCCGACCCGGTGGACCCCCGGGACCCTTCCGGTGGTCCCGGTACAATACCGGTGACCCCCGAAACTTTCCCAGTGGCCGAAACTTGACTTCCCATATATAATTCTTTACCTCCGGACCATTCCGGAACTCCTTGTGACGTCCGGGATCTCATCCGGGACTCCGAACAACTTTCGGTTTGCTGCATACTAATATCTCTACAACCCTAGCGTCACCGAACCTTAAGTGTGTAGACCCTACGGGTTCGGAAGACACGTAGACATGACTGAGACGGCTCTCCGGTCAATAACCAACAGCGGGATCTGGATACCCATGTTGGCTCCCACATGCTCCTCGATGATCTCATCGGATGAACCACGATGTCGAGGATTCAAGCAACCCCGTATACAATTCCTTTTGTCAATCGGTATGTTACTTGCCCGAGATTCGATCGTTGGCATCCTAATACCTCGTTGAATATCGTTACCGGCAAGTCACTTTACTCGTACCGTAATGCATGATCCCATGACCAGACACTTGGTCACTTTAAGCTCATTATGATGATGCATTACTGAGTGGGACCAGAGATACCTCTCCGTCATACGAAGTGACAAATTCCAGTCTCGATCCGTGTCAATCCAACAGACACTTTCGGAGATACCCGTAGTATACCTTTATAGTCACCCAGTTATGTTGTGACGTTTGGTACACCCAAAGCACTCCTACGGTGTCCGGGAGTTACACGATCTCATGGTCTAAGGAAAAGATACTTGACATTGGAAAAGCTCTAGCAAACAAACTACACGATCTTGTGCTATGCTTAGGATTGGGTCTTGTCCATCACATCATTCTCCTAATGATGTGATCTCGTTATCAATGACACCCAATGTCCATAGTGAGGAAACCATGACTATCTGTTGATCAACGAGCTAGTCAACTAGAGGCTCACTAGGGACATATTATGGTCTATGTATTCACACGTGTATTACGATTTCCGGATAATACAATTATAGCATGAATAAAAGACAATTATCATGAAAAAGGAAATATAATAATAATCATTTTATTTATGCCTCTATGACATATTTCCAACATCCAGCAGGCGGCACATCGAGCTACAACAAACGACGACTAATCTTTGCTACAATTATTGGCGACAATGATTGATAGCACGCAGGTCGAGCTACAACCGGCGATGACATTTTTTTGTTGCAACTGTAGTTGGCGCTTGCTATGACCAGCGACGACAATTGTTGCGACCGTTAGGGTGGGTTGCTGGGACGACATGCATTGGGAGCTACCACAACGATGCTTTTTCGCTGCAACTGTCATCTGCTTTGCTGCAACCGGTGACGACAATTGTTGTGACCGGTAGGGCGGGATGTTGGGGGCAACATGCACAACAAGCTACATCCATCGATGATGTTTTTTTGCTGCAACTGTCGTTGGTGCTTGCTATGGCCGGCAATGACAATTGTTGCGACTGTTAGGGCGGGATGCTATCACCGGCGATGATATTTTTTTGTTGCAGATGTCGTGGGCTTTGTCGTGAGCGGCGACGACAATTGTTGCAAGCCTGCAACCAGCAGGGCGGGTTGCTGGGACGGCACACACGACGAGCTACAACTGGTGACGGCCGCGCCGACGGTTTTGCTGCATGTCACCTTTTGCTACGACAATTGTTGCAACCACGGCGGTGAAGTATTTTGAGACCAACATCGTATCTTCTTCAGTGGTGACAGGGGACGGCAAGCGCAGGACTAGGGGGAAACCGTTCTGGGCAAATCCGACAGTCCGCAAGGCACAAGACTCGCATCTGACGGCTCAGAGGCAACCGGCCCAGATGTGGCGCCGGTTGACTAGCGCCAAGTGCTGCCTTGAACTTTTTTCCCCCTGCAAGGATCTGTATTGACCTTCCATGTTGTGCACGACGATTTTCCTTTTGAAAAGCAAACGTCTATTTTTTTTAACTGAAAAAAGCAAACGGCTATATTGAAATAATAAAAAGAGGAACGGGGCTGTCACCTTGTAAAAGCTAGGCGCTCTGAAGATCTTTTTCGATCTCGAAGGGTCGTACTCTACTCCACAAAATATTAGATTGCCATGCTTTTCTTGCCGCGTTGAATTTGTTTAGTGTTCCTTACCAGACGCTTAATCATTGCACGAGCTCGCTGTGATGCATGATTAAAAAGACGGCAATGTTCTTTTCCCCAGAATATTAGCAATCATTCATTGCATTGGAAAAATATTTTCATATATTCGAAATCAAGCCAATAAACTAATTTCATATATAATTTTTCCCTGTTATATTTACGGGGAGGGAATTCGCATTCGCTTGTCAAATGCGTCCACCCTTTCTTTCCCGTATACAAATAATCCCTGCGAAGAAGCGCCTTCGCATCTACCAGAAAAGAATGAACAAAAGAATAGGAGGGGCAAAATTGTACAGTTCCCCCCTGCGCGTATTACTACTGCCTACGGTATAATTTACACTTTCACTCCGCCGCAGTACTTCTACTGCTCTCCGGCCGTTGCGTCGCCGGCGAGGGGCCCTGCTGCCGCGCCACCCTGTTGAGCATGGCGAACATGCCGACCATGGGGGCGGTGTTGTACGTGCACGCCTCCGTCTGCATGTAGTTGACCCTGTCGTCCCTGAACCTGTCGTGGCGGTCGGGCCCGCCGACGATGGCGCCGACGACCACGTTGGGGTTGGCGCTCTTGCGGCCGAACCAGTCGTCGAACCCCTGCGCGCACCCGATGAACTCCTTCCTGTCCTTGTACGGCACGATGGACGCGGCGCGGTGGTGCACCCTCGCCGGGAACTTGGCGCCGTACCCCACCAGGTAGCTGATCCCGCGCGGGTTGCTCCCCAGCACGTAGTCCACCTGCGCCCGGGCGTGCGCGAACACCTCGCCGGCGTCTGCCGACCCCCCGCCGCCCGCGCACGTCACGGCCGCGCCGCCGTCGCCGGCCTCCGTGAGGTAGCCCGAGTAGACGGAGAGGAGGTACGCGGCGCTGGTGACGTACTGCATGTTGTTCCACTGGCGCACGTAGAGCATCCCGCCGGGGCTGCGCTCCACGTTGTCCTCGGCGGCGGCGTTCTTGCCCATGCACGCGCACACGTAGTGCTCCGCCTTGGCGCGGTACCCCTCGAGCGTGGCCCGGTGGCGCTCCTCGTGATCGCCCCGCAGCAGCAGCCGGGTGGCGAGGATCTGGACGCCGGCGTACTTGACGTCCCAGCTGAACTCGGTGATGGCCCATCCGGTACCGCCGAACTCGTGCGCGTTGTCCACCACGTAGTCGAGGTAGCTGGCCCTGCCGGTGGCGCGGTGGAGCCAGAGCGCCGCCCAGAGCAGCTCGTCGTGGTAGCCGCTGACGGACGCGTAGTAGCTCTTCACCTCGGCGATGCTGCTGTCGTACTTGCCTCTGTACTTGTCAGCGAACTCGAACAGCTGTACCGCCAAGAGAAAAGAGACATAGGTCAGTACTACCCACGTACATGCACGCCATTAAAAAAGCTAACCAACCAACTAATATTCCTCTAATCTATCGGCCGCAATAATCATCATCATGATTTGCATCGCATCTTTGTAATCGCGTGGGCTTCTGAAGGCGCCAACGTGAACGGAAATGTGGTGGTTACGTTAAGTAGCCTGTCGCATCACGCAGCCACGTAGTACGGCGCTGACAGTGTGCTGCATGATGCCGAGCTCTTTCATGGACCCACATGTCGGCCTCCCTGGACCGACAGAACCTTCACGCGGTTAATTTTTGTGTTTGTGTATACTACAAGAAAAAGATGGAAGATTTAGCCAGCTGCCTGGTGATGACGTCATGGTGACAAGTTGGCACGTGCGGCACGAGCAGCGAGGAGAAGAACACGGTTCCAATGTGAAGCAGGGAGAAAAATCCTCTGCCCTCTTTGACTCGTGCTTCCTGGCCGGTCCACAGAATCTACAGCTCGATCGGCAACTCAGCTACGCGTACCCGAGACATTCCACACACGCCAAAGAATTTACTACCAGTAGTAGTACTACTAATCTCTGGACTAGTCTAATTAGTTACGTGCACAGTAGTAGGAGTGACGGTGATTGTTACAAACCTGCTGGGCATGGTGGAGGAGGAGGTGGGCGTAGTGCGGGTTGGTCTCGCGGAACGCCATGGAGGCGGCGGCCAGGGCGGCGGCGGTCTCGCCGGCGACGTCGGAGCCGGGGCGCTCGCGGTCGACCTTGTAGGCCTGGCGCGACGTGGTCATGTCCTCCGGCCGCTGCCAGCAGTAGTGATCGGTGTCGCCGTCGCCAACCTGCAAAGCAAAGCGAAGCACGATCAGTCAATCATTTCATTCACATTTTATCAAAGCCATGGAAGCAGGCAGGCGGACAGACATGCATATGCATGGTTTGTTAAGTTCCTAGCTAGCTAATCCATGTGAAGCGAGGAGACAATCATGCATGCAGCTGCAGGTGTGAGATTTGCGCGTTCCTCGACTGAACCGCACCTTGGCTTTGCTTGTCCTCTAGCCCCCACCTAACAAATGTTCCTCTCCCCCAGCTTTCAAAAATAAGTTAAAATAAACGAGTTCTTTGCTTTTGTTTTCTCCATCTGCCAACCTAAAGCCAACCAATGGTGCATGCATGTTTGTTTGTTTGAAGTTGCTGATTGGATGATTAGCTAGCGAATGGCGGTGATTACGATGGATGGAGGTAAATCGGGAAGAGATTGTAAATTACCTCGGCCCAGAGCTCGTCGGGCTTGGTGTGCGCCTTGATGAAGTAGTCGGTGCCCCACTTGATGGACTCGAGGGCGTGGGCGAGCTCGCCGGCGGCCGCCACGTCGCCGCCGTACTCCAGAAGGCTCCACGACAGCATGGTCACCGTGAACGCCATGGGCAGCCCGAACTTGACGTGGTCGCCGGCATCGTAGTATCCGCCCACCAAATCCACCTAATGGAACCAAACACAGCAGGCAAGATCCGTCCAAAGTCAGCACCCCTGATCGACCGAACGATATATATGATGATCGGCCACCCCCGCCGGCCGGCAAAGAAGAAGAAGAAGAGACGGAAAATGTGGTGGCGACGTAACGTACTCCTTGCTCGAGGCCGTCGGTGAGGCCGGAGTGGTCGCGCCAGGCGACGCGCTGGCCGTGCGGCAGCCGCCCCGACCGCTGCGCCTCGAAGTAGAGCAGGCTCTTCCGCAGGGCCTGCTCATAGTCGTGCGGCACGGGCGCCGCGCCGGCCGCCTCCGCCGCCAGGAAGATGGCCGCGGCCGCCACGGCCACACCAAGAGCCCACGCCCCGGCGCCGCTGCTCCTCCTCATTATCCTCGCTATCTCAGTATCTATCTCTCTCTCTCTTTCTCCAACAGCTGTATACGCTAGTCCTCGAGGAACCTTCGAACGTATGGGCCAACCGACGGACTCGCTCCGCTAGCTCCCGCGGCGGCCGACGATCGATCGCTCTTCGATATATGCAAGCACGCGGCGGACAGGTGGAGCTTCGCGGCCCGGTTGTTCGAGCGGTCGTTGGGCGAAGCAGCTGTTGAAATGGGGACGGGGGGACGGGGGAGAGGAGAGGAAAGTAGCAGGGTGTGGTGGGCTGTCGACTCTACGGGGGACTCTCGTATATGTAGGGGGAGTGGAGGGACGGAGGTGGTGCGCGGCGCGGCGCGGAGCTCCGTCGAGAGCAGCATACCGTGTTGAATGGGTGGGGCCGGCCCGGCTGGGTTAGGTGACTTTGCGGTTCGGGCCCATCATCGTGTCCATGGGAATATAGAAGGCCAGCAAAGGGGAAGAGGAAATAGTGCGGGGGAGGGGAATAGCCTAGCCGCTGCCCATATCGTAGGGGTGGACTGCTTGCGCTGCGCGGGATTTGGTGAAAATTGGTGGAAGGAAGGCAAGAGGAACAAGGGTACGATACTAGTAGCATTGGCCAATGAGTGAGTGATTGACCGAGTGAATAAGAATGTGTTGTTCCCGTGCCAATTATCGTCAAACGGCTCGGCTGGTGCAGCAACTTGGCCATGAGCATATAGTTGGGGAAAATCTAGGTCGTATATGGCTACTATCTAGGCACTCGTTTTGTAAAATACTCCCTCCGTTCCTAAATAGATGACTCAACTTTGTACTAACTTTAGTATAAAGTTGGATCATCTATTTTAGAACGGAGGGAGTACTACTGCTCCGACGTAGGGATCCCGTTATCAGCCGAGTAGGCTAGTTTGGGAAGGAGGGTTTGCCATGCTTTTTTTGAATTGGGGATGACTCGTGGACTGATGATTCAATCAAAACTTCATATGTTCTTCCTTTTTCATTCGGATCAGCATACCAGGTCGATCCCTTATACTACTCCCTTCATTGGAAAATGGAATAATTAAGAGGCACTTATTTTCATTAAGTTACGGTTTTGATCAAAAACATATTGTTAATAGGTGTTTATGTATTTGCTTACGACCGTGATTTACTTACGATTGTGACATGGAATTTGTGTCACTAGATCCATTTTAAAGTATTTACTCAACTAGCAAAATAAATCTTGATCAAATTTTATAAAAAATAAAAACGCACATTATATTTTTGAAATTAAGGGAGTAGAACTCAAATTTTGATATGACTGTCATAAAATTCAACTACAATGTAGTGACAAAAACATGCAGCGGTGCACTACCGAAGGTATTTTCTAACCTAAAAGCCACGAATTGCTTCATTCACAGCCCCCCTCCATTCATTGC